TACGTAAATTTACGATTTTCTTACGCACCGTAAGATTTACGTAGTTTTACGCTAAATTTTACGTAAGTTTACGATTTCCTTACGCACCGTAAAAACTTACGAAAGTTTACGCATATATATTTTTGCTGATGTATATTAAAATGTATCAATACGTAATAATATAATAAAATAAGATATAAATTTTTAATGTGCATTGATTTTTTAAAAATAAGTATTGAAACATATTAATAAACTTCATATGTAAAGATATCAATATCTACTGATTTTTCTGTATATGCATTGATTTTTTAACAATCTATATTTACATTTACTTAACTGAGGTATGCCTCGGATTCATACATTGTCAAATATAGGTGAAGGCAATAAACTTGGAGACTTACCATCTAATCGATACCCACCCAGTCGAACCGAACTTGAAAACCTGCTTAATCAAGCAAATCAAGATCGTGAAATTGCTATAGAATGTAGCAATCGACTTGCTCATAAATGTTCTATCTTGGATAAAGACAATAAGCGTATGCAACAGAATCTAAATCGATCCAATAAAGATAAAGAGAAACTCTCCAAGCATACCTACCAGCTTATAGATGAGGTTAAGCGATTGCGCTCAGAGTTAGATACTCTAACAATCCAGATTACTCGCAAAGATATTTCTCTTAATGAATCTAAGGTCAAAATTCGTACAAAATTAAAAGAGATGAAGGCTCTCCAGTCTAAGATAAAAGCATTGGTGACGAAACTATCTTCAGCTCAAAAAGACTCATCTATAAAAGAATCCAAAATTGATTCCTTCAGAGTCGAATTATCTGCCTTGAATTCTAATCTAGCTTCGAAAAATAGTGAATTAGAGCATATAAAGAATATGTTAGCTTCAAAAAATGGCGAATTGGTGCTAATGAAAAATGACTTGGCTAAAAAAAATTTAAATATACACTCCTTAGAAGCTAGATTATCATCAGAACAAATCAAAATCAGAGGTGAGACAGATGAAAAAAATTATAATAACAGATTAGCTATGCAGTCTTTGCCAAAAGATCCAGACTCTCTAAGAAAAAGCCAACCTTCTGAAGCATGCGAACCCGAAATTTTATCTCTTGCAAAATATTTAGTATATAAATCTAAAACAGAAGATGGTCAGGTAAATGAAACTTCAGATATGGGAGCATCCTCACTTCGTGAGACTAATTCGAGTAATAGCATGTCTTTATCGGATATTGTAGTAAGTAATATGCCTGAAACTTTACCTACTCAATCATTGGTTTTGCAACCTTGTAAACTTACATCAGAAAAAAGAATACCTCTGTAATATATAGACAAAGTCCGGTGGGAAGGGCTAAAGCATTACCCATTGTAGCAGGTGCTGGCAAATCTCTCATTAACAATGAGTATCAAACATCTCCTATTATCAAGCTAGGCATCCTTGTAATAATAGTGATATTAATTATATGGTTTCTATATAGGCTTTTTTTAGACAAACGCAAATCAGAACCTAATGAAAGTCTAACCTTAAAAGCTAACAAATATTCATCACAAATTATTGAGAAATATATATTACCTTTTTATAAAAATAAACATGCAAAAGAACTTAAAGACAGAATTATCTTATATGAAACTTTTCTTTATAGATATGGATAAGGCTACAAAACATACTTCATCACGCTGTATTGGACATCCATCAATGTCATAGCCATTCACTAAGCTAGTTACAGGAAAAAGTGGCACAGGTAAGACTAATATACTCAGGAATCTTGTTCTTGGTGACAAAGGTGAACATATATATAAAGGGAAAAAGGGTGGATCTAGATATATACGGTGCGATGATTTTATAGTTTGTGGATATCATCCAGATGAACCTAAGTGGACATTTGTTAGATATATGTATGGAATAATCGCAAGTAATCTGAGAGCACCATATTATGAAAATATTAAGTTTAGTTATATCTCACCTGAAAAAATTCCTAGTGTAAAATCATTCTCACCAGAGAGAAGTACGATGATTATTTTTGAGGATCTATGCGTTGCTCCAGAGTCAATACAAAATCGGATTATTCCATTCTTTACACATAGATACCATCAAAACATTAGTCCAATTTACATAACACAAAAATATCATCATGTCCCAGTAATTATTTGGGAGAACCTTTCTCATTTAGTAATATTTAACTCTGGTAGCTCACATGAAAACATTTCTAAAATTATTCGACGATATACTGATGATGTGAAAAATGCTTCCATGGTTATTAACAGATACCTCTGTAAGGAAGAATTTATTGTGTTTGACCTAGACAGGCCAGAAGATGATCCACTTGCAATTCGGTTAAGGTTTGATACTCCACTAGATTTGCAGAAAGAGATAGAGTTATGGCAAAAGCACAAGATAAAAAATGCATTACCTGCTGAGCCCACAAATTTTGAACCTGAAAAATCAAAATGAAAAGTCTATAGTATTATAGTATGCACTTCATAGATTTTTATTTCACTTCATGCACTACCTAATTGTGATCTCAAGAATAGCATTAGAAAAACGGTGGACAACAACTCTATGCAAAAAAAGTTATATTAATAAATCGAATAAATGGATATATGTTATAATAAATTAAGCTATACATTGTTAATTTGACATGTTTTCTCTCTAATTTCCCATAAAAGTTTATAATGCTCAACTAACCGTGTAGCACAAAGGCCAGAGGGTCGGTAATAATATTCAATAAATTTTCTTTGTATAACTCTTACAGCTCGAATTTTTTTCCCAATCTCTCTTGCACGTTTGACTCTTCTAATAGCATTCTGCATCCACAATTCATAACGATGAATTGCTTCTTTTTCGAAGTAGGAGTTGCTAACTTTGGATCTGCTTTTAAGTTTCATATAGTCTTTATAACTAAGCATTTCCTGTGCAATTTGTGCCCCAATGCTCATCCATAAAATGACAAAATCCATACTCATACCCACGTCCTATTTTAGAATAAACTAGTTCATTGCACAAATGACATATTGCTATACTTACACCTACAGCATGGCCGAGATCGCCTTCTTATAAATATTTCATTTTTCTGGTGATAAGATATCGCTTTTTATCATCAGTTAAACGATTATTATTCTTATAATTAGTCAACTGATCCCAGATTCGGGTCTTCCAATCAGATGGTGTTTCACCTTGTGGATTACTGGAAATCGACAGTTATCTCTCTATTTAATATATCTCAAAACTAGACATTTATCTGTATAGACCATATTTAACGATTAAGTGATTTAACGTATTATATATAGTTTTTTTAGAAATTATGTGATTTATATCAAATTTAGAGATTTAGACCTATTTGATTTTATTAACTTAATACTTCCTTAATTCCGGATTCAATTTTTGCAAGAGGTATTGTAATGAATGAATATCGATTAAATATATTAAGTCAGAGGTCCTATCGCTTAATAAAGACGAAATTTTTTGCATGACTATTCCAGGAAGAAGTATAATAAATAAAAAGCGAGATGAATACATTTGAACTATTTCTCATCTCGTAGCTCAGTGGACTAAACCGCGGGAAGCTCATCGGGTCTTCCTCTCCTCGCTATGTAGACAATAATAGTCTGACAATCGTGCCCTTTATGATAGTGTTTTTATAAATGTAAAAAGAAAAATAAATTTAGGGAGGAAACAGTCGGATCCTAAGCCTACCTCGAAAAGTTATGACTGCACCAAAAAGACTATATTATTAATGGATAGCTAGATAGCATATTTTGCAGAACAAACGAGCACTTTTGCCAAAGTACTGGGCTACCAAATGGTAATTATGAGCATGTTCGATCTCACAACACACATAGTCAGAGGCCCTATCGCTCAACATTAGAGACGAAATTTTTTGCTTGACTAAGCATACCCGCACAAATAGCTCCAGCAACTGTCTTATCAACACAAAAACTATCTAGTGTAGGAAAGTGTAATGTAATATTGGTAAAAAATTTCGGATTGAAAACAGAAAAAGAAGATTTTATATACGTACTTATTTGAGCCTCATGCATGTAGAGCACAAGGAATGTTTCAAGTTGGTTATTGTTATGTGGCTTGTTATATTTGGTCTACATATATGTATCGATATACAATTAAATACGTAACCTTTTTTTAGAAAAAATATTACTTGACAACCTATAAATATTTGTACATCCGCCAAAAAGCCGGATGTTCAATCAACATACGATTTACATTTTTTTATCTGAAATATATTAATATCGAAATCAAATATACATGAAAAAATAAACACGATTATACTGTATATGCGAAATCAGCGTGGTAAAAAATAAAATATATAATAAAACACATGATAAAGTATACGATATAGATGTCTTTGTGGATCTGATCAACAAAGCAAGTCGTTCATCATTCTCCACATGTGGTTTTTCACGTGAGGTCACATTCTTACTGTTCAATAATTTTCCTGTCGTATGCGAAAAAATTCTTTATTAAGTTAAGTAAACTCATATTGACACTGTAGCGCCAGTGGTATCCTACGTCCATATGGTCTCTGCCCTGTGGCCGATGCTTGGAGAAGAGTGTTGTGGCAGGGTGGCCTCCCTGGACATCTTCTCCAGTATACCCAACGATATTAGTATCCTACGTCCCTATGGTCTCTGCCCTTTGGCCGATGCTTGGAGAAGAGCGTTGTGGCAGGGTGGCCTCCCTGAACCTCTTCTCCAGTATACTATATTGTTGAATGCTATTGTCCTTGGAAAATTTCAGTAATTTTTTGCTTTCATTGCAATTATCTTCCAAATTACTCATAAAACGTTGTTTTTTTAGATATGAACTTTAGTCGATATGTTTCAACATTTGCAAGTGACGCTGATTGTAAAGACTGGAATTTCCTAAACTGTCTCCGGTACCTGAAAGATTATGCAGAAATTCAATTTACTTCAGACAGCAAACAAGATATCTTAGATGCATTTATTAAAGTCTTTAAGAGAATTGGTGAATCTGGTACAAATAGGGAAAAAAAAAAGGCCAAAAAAATTCATGATAGTGCCAAAGCGGTCTTCCAAACAAAAAAGATTTCTGAATTTTTTGAAGAGTTAGATAGAGAGTTTAGTGAGGTAAATAATTTATGGCTTCTGCACGACGCAGGTTCATCATATCCATTGTAATATTAACCATATTATCCTATAATTTTATAGAGACGTCTTGAAAGATCACTTGAAAATAATGGCAGTGAGCTGTTAATAAAGTCTTGTAATTTCCAGACACTGAATCATTCGTTACGTTTCAAAAAAAGAACCGCAAAATTAAAAAGGAAATATGAAACGGAGGACGAAACATCAGAAACATCTTGTGAACCAAAGTCATATAAGATCCGATCATCTGAGTCAAACATCTCAACAACATTAGTAGAAAGCGAAGTTATGAGCAGAAGTTCAACCTCAGATCAAACCTATGATTCTCCTTCTGATTCTGAAGGTTCCATAAAAGCAAAGAGGTCATTTTATCTTGATTATTTCATAGGACCTGGTGAAATTGATTGGGAACTAAAGGAAGATTCTACCATGGTAAATAATAAAAATGTTTTATAGACTATGTAATATATTAATATAAATTTAACTCTGTATTATCTCTTAACAGTGGGTTATTGGAGAAGTAGATATTTCTAAAATTTGTGTGGAATTCCGTACTTCTGTAATACAGAAATGCAAGTCAAAGGAGATCTTAAGTACCGATGAAGAACTGTACGTATTGTTTGTTTTTGGATAGTTGAAGCATTCATGATTAACTTATTTCATCCATAGGGCCCTAAACCATATATTTCTTTTCCAAGAAGAGAATCCGCAAGGACTTTATGAATATTTTGATGATGAATCATGGAAGTGCGTTTTCTCAGAGATTCGTACACAATATCCTTATATTAGTGTTCCAGAACATGTCCTTGATTTGTGTGGAACAAATGTGAAGGTAGAGAGTGAACGTAGAGTTTTTAATGGAATATATGCAGTTTAATTATTTGAGTTATTGTACATTTTCAGATCGCGTCTCAAGAACAAGACCCACAAAGACGTCGATCCGAAATTAAGGATTTTCTAAGAAACTATAAGACGAATGGAGAGCTCGAAGAAATAATGCACAATATACTCTTTAATTTGTATGTGTCACTAAAATTGCATATTATAATAGAAAACTACAAGTACACATCCTAATACAAGTCCTGCACATTTTAGAGTTGACCGTTATCAAAGTTCATTTGTCAAAAATAACGAAAACGAGGATACACATTCTCACAACTATGTTGCCCCTGTGATCAAGCCGTTTTTTCCAGAAGGCAAAAAAACGACCATAGACTGGTACATATCCAAAATGAAGTCTGTATAAACATATTTGTTTATTTTTCATTATATTTTATATGGGCTTAGGGCAAACAAGACATCAAAATCATCTGCTCAGACAATGAAACAATTCGATCCTATCCTTTCTGGCTCAAAACCCGACTTTACAATAAGAACCATCAATCCTAAAAAATTTGTTGAATTAATGTTTGCCGAAATAAAACCACCGAATACAAGAGCGGATTTAGTAAATGAGGATCTAGTGACTTTGGGAAAAACAATGCGAGCATCATTTGATAAGTCGTTAGAAGATGGTGTTGATCTTGTTATCTGTGGATTGCATGTCTTTGGTTGGTATAGTAAGGCCAATTCCTTTCATAGAAATGCAACCTTTACGAATTTTGCCTTCACAATTTTAGGTTACCTTGGAAGATGCTATATTATCGATCTTCGTTATGATGGACTTTATCGAATGATACTGGTGGGAGAATTTAGATTTCCTGAAGATCCAACAACTTGGGGGACACTTATGAGCTATTTTCAGGTGATGGCTACAATGCAGGTAAGCAGTCTACATTTTCAAAATAACAAATACATTTATTTTTCATTGGATCACTAATCTCAATACGACTTTAGAGTCTCGTGAATGAAGGGGCAACTAAATACCAATACACTCGAAGGGTTCAAAACAAGAAAATCCGGCAAATTTAAAATTTAAAAAGCCAATGTTTCATTTCCCAATGAAGGTATATAATATCATATAATTATAAATATAATTAGAATGGGTTTTCATTCGCTTTACCTGTTTTTTGACAATATGCTTGTATCTTGGTGTATCAAGGTGTATCAAAGAAATCATAATAACATGTATGCCTTACAAAAAATAACGCACTTGAGATTTTTCTATAAAAAGTCTGTCACTAGAAAATATATACATATAAAAATAAAAGTTTTACGTTTACTCAATAAGACTATATAAGTAGGTTGGAAGTAGATATGTCGGCAGTATTACCGGGCATATCAACTATTTGTTTAGGAATACCTCCAGTAGAATGGCTTGGGTTTGAGCTTCTCAAAATCGTGTTTTAATTTGGTACTTCATCTTTAAGCTCAACATTTTCAACTTCGAATTCTGCAATTCTGGCATTAACAAATCCAATTCGGATTGTATGTTTGATTTTAAAATAAAAAATCACGCGTGCGTCACAATTTGTAATGCCGAAAAAATAAAAATAAATTCGGGAAAAATATATGTATATTTGCTTTATTGTTACAATAAAAATATATGGATGCCAAGTACATGATAAAATAATAAAATACGTAAACGGAATTGGCCATCTATTTGTTAGATTTTCGTATACGATGTTTTTTAATTTCATGCTCATCACACATTGTAATCCTATCCCAATTACCGTTTTCGCTACTTTTTTGCATGTCTTACAATATAGATGTGAATGGTGATTGCATTCGTCACAAACCTTACATCCATGCTTCCATCCTCTAAAGATATGCCACTTTTCGATGTAATTTCGATTTTTTTTATTTGTTAATATGTTACTCTTATCTTTCATTGTTATATATTAGCCGAAAAAAAATATATACGTGTTCTAAATTTTTTATCATTCAAACCTGCAATTAGTTGATACTCAATATTGCTACCGTTATGTAATATCAATAATGTAGTACATATGTAAGTAAAATTCATTTTCCCATTGATCTTCCTGATAATACAAATAATTTTTTGTTACTTCAACAGATCAACCGCCTATACTGGATATATTGTAAAAGTCAAAACGAACTACAGTAAATAAATTAATTCTTAGCAAATGAATATATTTAAAAATCAAAGCTTTATTAATTTTGTAGATATATATGAAAATGGCCCAGGCCAGCTAAGTATAAAATAAATATTGGAGTAGCAGACGTTTAAAGGGAGGAATAAAGCACGAAAGACTGTGCCTGCTGGCCCCTAGACTATAAGATAGCAGTTTCTTCCCGCTACTCCATGTTATCTAACCATCTACCTATATCATTAAGTGTAGAACTTTTACAACTAGTGCTATTATTATAAAAATTTTTAATTGTTGCTGTTTTAATTTTACCACCAAGGTCTTGGATGCATACCTCTATCCTGTTACACATTTCATCAAAGGTAAGATTTCTTGCATTCCTTTCTCGATCAAATACTTCTTTAAAGCGGGCCCAGATGGTTGAGCTAATATTGAATATTGAATTCGACCAGATCCTGTAGAATTTGATGATTGTATAGAAAATGATGATCGTATGGATGATGATGATGCTTCACTTTGTTGATTTGGATAAGAGAGTATCGTTGATTGATTTCATTTTGGTGTGTCATGATAGTTCTTTTGATTGTTTCGAATTCATTA